GGAATCATAGATTGTTTTTAGATGTGGATACAAAAAATAAGGTCAGTATTGTGCTTGGTATTCATGATTGAACAAAAGTTTATTTTTAAATACATGTTCTCTTTGGAATATTTAAAATATCAAGTTGAAACTTTTATTTTGTATAAATGTTCTTTCTGAATTGCCAAAAATACAATTATTGTGCTTTGCAACCATCATTAAATAAAACTATATTTTTGTCTTCTTATTCTCTTTGGATTATCTGCATTGTATAGAATTGGTTTGCTTGTTTAGTGGCATATCAACTCCTCATGGGTCATTTAATGCTGAAATTTAGTTTTCTTGGGAGCATTAGTAATATTTTTTACAAAAATGTATTGCAGGTAATTTTTATTACTATGAAAATGTATTGTTGATATTTTTACTATAAAAATGTATTTTTAAATTTTGTTTAGTTCAGTTTGGGGGGATTAACTATTTTCTTATAGCTGGGACCCTAACATATGCTGCCACCCTGGATCAGAGTAGACTTGAGAACAGCAACAATTGAGAGGTGGTCCCATGCTGTCAGATGTAGTTTATCATCATATCCAGGATCAGTACAGTGTTAAACTATATCTTTGGATATATATTCAGTTTGAGATATATGAATTATCTACTTGTGCTTTGGGATCATTCTAGAAGAAAATTACATTTTGGACAGATGAATGGATAGGTAATTAATGTATGGAATGACATATTGATGAGAGGTGACAGAATGACAGATAGTTTCATGATTATGGTATAGCAGAATGATTAGAGATCTTGGGTAGTAAACTGATTATATATGAAGGGTTGGCAGATTGCTTAAATTTCAATGAATTGTCCATTTATTAGTGCTGAATTAATTGTTTATTTGTTAGACAGTAATATTGTGTCTCAAGAAAGTTCAATATTTGCCCACTGCTTAATAAATGCCCCTTTTTTTCAATTGGAAATACTCTTTGATGTCTGTCAAACACTTTTAATGAATTTGCTCATTTTAATTCATACAATTTTTTTTCAGATGAGAATATTTTTGAAATAACAAAGAAATGAATAAGGAATTATAACAAAAAATCTTCATTTCCTAATTCCACTTACTCATAAAAAACATATATATGGGTGTATATATATATATATATTTATGTATATATATATATATATATATATATATATATGTTTGCATATATAGACAATTCATAAATATATTGCCATTATATATATATAAACAACATATGAAAAAGTATATAATTTAAAAATACTTTGTGAAAATGATTCAACCAAAATAACTGTTTCAGAGTTTATATATTTCATATTATCTCTTGTGCATGGATCAAAAATAAATCATTGATAAAATATTAACCTGGAACAGAAATATAAGTGTTTTATAGTTCATCAACAAAGCAACATGGATAGCAAGAATAGTGACAACTGATGAAGATTATGGAAAGATGCCTTGCCCATATGGTCAGAACAGATTTTAAAGCTTAAATATGCATAAAACCAAGTGCCTCTTAAAACTACAAGATGGACAAGATTGTAAAACTCCAGCAAAAGTACAATCTTCTATTGAAGACAATGATGAGGATGATGGAAAGGAATCTTGCCCATATTGTCAAAAGAGATTTCAGCGATTAGATTTGCATAAATTCAAGTGCTCCTTAAAACCACAAGGTGCACAAGATTGTAAAACTCCAGCAAAAGTACAATCTTCTATTGAAGACAATGATGAGGATGATGGAAAGGAGTCTTGCCCATATTGTCAAAAGAGATTTCAGCGATTAGATTTGCATAAATTCAAGTGCTCCTTAAAACCACAAGGTGGACAAGATTGTAAAACTCCAGCAAAAGTACAATCTTCTATTGAAGACAATGATGAGGATGATGGAAAGGAGTCTTGCCCATATTGTCAAAAGAGATTTAAATGCTTACATCGGCATCAATTCCGGTGCCCGTTAAAACCACAAGGTGCACAAGATTGTAAAACTCCAGCAAAAGTACAATCTTCATTTGAAGACTATGGTGAGGATGATGGAAAGGAATCTTGCCCATATTGTCAAAAGAGATTTAAATGCCTACATCGGCATCAATTCCGGTGCCCGTTAAAACCACAAAGTGGACAAGATTGTAAAACGCCAGCAAAAGTACAATCTTCTATTGAAGACAATGATGAGGATGATGGAAAGGAATCTTGCCCATATTGTCAAAAAAAGATTTCAGCAATTAGATTTGCATAAATTCAAGTGCTCCTTAAAACCACAAGGTGGACAAGATTGTAAAACTCCAGCAAAAAGTACAATCTTCTATTGAAGACAATGATGAGGATGATGGAAAGGAAACTTGCCCATATTGTCAAAAGCGATTTCAGCAATTAGATTTGCATAAATTCAAGTGCTCCTTAAAACTACAAAGGTGGACAAGATTGTAAAACTCCAGCAAAAGTACAATCTTCTATTGAAGACAATGATGAGGATGATGGAAAGGAATCTTGCCCATATTGTCAAAAGAGATTTCAGCGATTAGATTTGCATAAATTCAAGTGCTCCTTAAAACCACGAGGTGGACAAGATTGTAAAACTCCAGCAAAAGTACAATCTTCAATTGAAGACAATGGTGAGGATGATGGAAAGGAATCTTGCCCATATTGTCAAAAGAGATTTAAATGCCTACATCGCCATCAATTCCGGTGCCCGTTAAAACCACAAGGTGCACAAGATTGTAAAACTCCAGCAAAAGTACAATCTTCATTTGAAGACAATGGTGAGGATGATGGAAAGGAATCTTGCCCATATTGTCAAAAGAGATTTAAATGCCTACATCGGCATCAATTCCGGTGCCCGTTAAAACCACAAGGTGCACAAGATTGTAAAACTCCAGCAAAAGTACAATCTTCATTTGAAGACTATGGTGAGGATGATGGAAAGGAATCTTGCCCATATTGTCAAAAGAGATTTAAATGCCTACATCGGCATCAATTCCGGTGCCCGTTAAAACCACAAAGTGGACAAGATTGTAAAACGCCAGCAAAAGTACAATCTTCTATTGAAGACAATGATGAGGATGATGGAAAGGAATCTTGCCCATATTGTCAAAAAAGATTTCAGCAATTAGATTTGCATAAATTCAAGTGCTCCTTAAAACCACAAGGTGGACAAGATTGTAAAACTCCAGCAAAAGTACAATCTTCTATTGAAGACAATGATGAGGATGATGGAAAGGAAACTTGCCCATATTGTCAAAAGCGATTTCAGCAATTAGATTTGCATAAATTCAAGTGCTCCTTAAAACTACAAGGTGGACAAGATTGTAAAACTCCAGCAAAAGTACAATCTTCTATTAAAGACAATGATGAGGATGATGGAAAGGAATCTTGCCCATATTGTCAAAAGAGATTTCAGCGATTAGATTTGCATAAATTCAAGTGCTCCTTAAAACCACGAGGTGGACAAGATTGTAAAACTCCAGCAAAAGTACAATCTTCAATTGAAGACAATGGTGAGGATGATGGAAAGGAATCTTGCCCATATTGTCAAAAGAGATTTAAATGCCTACATCGCCATCAATTCCGGTGCCCGTTAAAACCACAAGGTGCACAAGATTGTAAAACTCCAGCAAAAGTACAATCTTCATTTGAAGACAACGGTGAGGATGATGGAAAGGAATCTTGCCCATATTGTCAAATGAGATTTAAATGCCTACATCGGCATCAATTCCGGTGCCCGTTAAAACCACGAGGTGAACAAGATTGTAAAACTCCAGCAAAAGTACAATCTTCATTTGAAGACTATGGTGAGGATGATGGAAAGGAATCTTGCCCATATTGTCAAAAGAGATTTAAATGCCTACATCGGCATCAATTCCGGTGCCCGTTAAAACCACAAGGTGCACAAGATTGTAAAACTCCAGCAAAAGTACAATCTTCTATTGAAGACAATGATGAGGATGATGGAAAGGAGTCTTGCCCATATTGTCAAAAGAGATTTCAGCAATTAGATTTGCATAAATTCAAGTGCTCCTTAAAACCACAATGTGGACAAGATTGTAAAACTCCAGCAAAAGTACAATCTTCAATTGAAGACAATGGTGAGGATGATGGAAAGGAATCTTGCCCATATTGTCAAAAGAGATTTAAATGCCTACATCGGCATCAATTCCGGTGCCCATTAAAACCACAAGGTGAACAAGATTGTAAAACTCCAGCAAAAGTACAATCTTCTATTGAAGACAATGATGAGGATGATAGAAAGGAGTCTTGCCCATATTGTCAAAAGAGATTTCAGCGATTAGATTTGCATAAATTCCAGTGCTCCTTAAAACCACAGGTTGCGCAAGATTGTAAAACTCCAGCAAAAGTACAATCTTCATTTGAAGACTATGGTGAGGATGATGGAAAGGAATCTTGCCCATATTGTCAAAAGAGATTTAAATGCCTACATCGGCATCAATTCCGGTGCCTGTTAAAACCACAAGGTGAACAAGATTGTAAAACTCCAGCAAAAGTACAATCTTCTATTGAAGACAATGATGAGGATGATGGAAAGGAGTCTTGCCCATATTGTCAAAAGAGATTTCAGCGATTAGATTTGCATAAATTCCAGTGCTCCTTAAAACCACAGGTTGCACAAGATGGTAAAACTCCAGCCAAAGTACAATCTTCATTTGAAGACTATGGTGAGGATGATGGAAAGGAATCTTGCCCATATTGTCAAAAGACATTTAAACGCTTAGATCTGCATCAATTCCAGTACCCCTTAAAACCACAAGATGAACAAGATTATAAAACTCCAGCAAAAGTACAATCTTCTTTTGAATACTATGGTGAGGATGATGGAAAGGAATCTTTCCCATATTGTCAAAAGAGATTTCATAGAAATCAAGGATATAAATCATCATCAAACTCAAAAAAGTGTACAAAAGCAAGAAAACGTTTTCTTAAATTTTTGAAAATGGTTCCGATGAAAATGGATGATATCCATGAAAATTTTAAAATTTATGATCTGATGCAAAATGTTTTGAGAGAATTGAATACCTGCAGGCCACTCAAATGGATAAAATTGAACAGTGGATCTTATTATTCATATGTCAAGGTAGGTTTTAATGTGATTTTTTTCCATATTGTGTTTGAATTTTTTATTTTTATATTTAATTTTTGTTTTGTGCTTATATGGGTTGCAGTGAATAAATTGTCCCCCAAATTATGCAAAAATGAAAATAACACCGACATCTCATTTTACCAGATATATTTATCAAAATTACATAAAATTATCATGAAATACTATAGAGTAAATTTATTCAATAAAATAGACACTGGTTTCAACCACATCCTCCAGAGGACTTCAGAATCTCCTGCATCTCTTGCTGACACTCTTCTTGTATAAGTTGGTGAATGCTGCCATAATCCTTGCCTTCAGTTCATCCTTGGTGTTACAAGAGGTTTTGTTGATATATTGCTAAACTATGCCCCACACATAATAATCAAGGAGATTGCAGTCTGGGGAGTTAAGTGGACAGATGTAAGAGGTGATGTGGTTGTAGAAATTGTCTGACAGCCATGACTGAGTTCTCCTGCTTTTGTGGCATGTTGCAGAGTCCTGTTGCTAGACATAGGGTCTTCTAGCTGCCACCATCCTGACTCAGGACACTGCTACTTTCTCAAGGCACTTGATGAGTCTGAAGCCCTGTGGGAAGATGAATGCTGACATAATGTTGCCATCACTAGTCATCACTCCAAACACCTTTATAATCATCATTAGACTCATCCAACACTTTCCGAATCTTCTTCACTGTCCTCAGATTAACATCCAAACACTTTGAAATGTTTGTATTGGAGCTTCTGGCGTGAATACCAAGGAGTACAGAATGCCATTTCTAAATTTCTGGCTGAGTGAATTTCATCATGTTACTCTTTTTCGCAAAACAATCCCCAACTGACTCTGCTGTACTGTGCAGTCAACAAAAACATAACACGCATGCACAAAATTAAAAATATGCAAAAGCAACAATTTACCCATTGGATCTTCTATGTATCTGTTGATTTTACATACCTAAATTAATTTAATAATAAGAATATATGTATTAATTTATACTACTACTACTAATAATGCTAATAACTGTATTGGAGCAATCATCAGGGCTATTTATTTTAAATGGAAGACACTTTCTCACTACCATGATGTAGCTTTCCACTGTATTTTCTTGGAACCAAGAAAAGCAGATGACTTTGGCAAATTGAAAAAGGTGCCATTTTCCACGACAACAATGCAAGACCACAGGTTGTAAAACAGACCTTGTAGAAGATTAAAGTGATGGAATGAGAAAACCTCTAGCACCCACTTTATTCTCCTGAATTTTAATCTTTACCAATTTTCATCTGTTCTAGTCTCTACAGAACAATTTAAATGACAAAAAAATTGACACTGTACAGTCAATCAAAAAGTACCTCACAAAATTCTTCCAACAAAACCAATGAGAGATAGTTTCCATTGTTTTTAACAATTATTTACTTGGTTAATAAATGATATTTTTTGTGAGTATATAAAATTCTATTTTAAAATGTTTAACCAGGCATAAAAATTCCCTCCTCAATTATGTGGCTTCTCTCTGTCTTTCCTATAAATATTTTCATGACAATTGTTTTAATGATCTTTCCTCCTTGGTACCTTGACTACATGAATTTAAGGCTACTACTAGATTGATAATTATATCTCATTGTTTTTCTATTGAATTAGATAAATGTAACCATAAATTCTATTCTAAAAGTTTCTTTTCTTGCAATCGTCAACTTTGGAAATGTCTTCTGGATCTTTGCCACTCTGTCACCTACAATCATCAAAATTTTAAATGCAACATTAATCATAAGCTTCTGTCTTCCTGAATCCTATTCTTTATATAGTCTTCTTTCTCTTCACTATTCTATTTTGTTTCAACACCCAATAGCCCTTTATAATCTTAGTGGCATTATTGCCTTATTTGGAGTGAAATGATTTTGAAAATGTCTCAATAACTTTGATAGTTCAGATATCTTTGTAAGTAAATCAGACATACCTTATTAATGATAACCATCTTGATGATCATGGATTGTTTTCAGGAAAAAAAGCTGAAGAACTAATATGGAAAGACTCAACTCATTTAGAGGCTGGTGGTGAATGGTTGCCTCTAACAAGTAAAATATTTTAGATGAATTTATTATTTTGATATTGATAAGTTTGTGCAGAATTTAGTAAAAAAATCAGTTGAATAAACATAGTGAATGTTTGATTCTGATCTGTAAGATGTTAGAAAATTAAATTGGAATTTCTATAATATGGCTAATTTGGTACAGACCTAAAATCTGTGAGAATGAACCTTGATTGTATTGCTTATTTTGTGATGGTGTTTAATAAAAAAAAAAAATTCTCTGTAGATAATTAATAGTGAACTCGGACTGGTAAAATGTTAAAGTAGGCATATTGAGTTTCTATAATAAAACTTAATTTGATTGTGGTGTTCAGTAGAACAAACTTTCCATTCATAGATAATGAACGGTTTGATCTGATGACTAGAATCTGCAAGAATGAACCTGAATTTACTATAGTATTGCTTATTGGATGATGACATTTAATAGGAAAAGATTCTCTAATTACAGATAATTAATGGTACACTCAGACTAGTAAAATATTAAAGAAGGAATTTTGAGTTTCTAATCAACTTGTTTAGAGGCTGGTGAGGAATGGTTGATCTGACTATTAAAATATTTTAGATGAATTTATAATTATTATGATATTGATGAATTTGTGCTAATTTGGTACAGACAGAAGCAGAACAAGTTTTACAATTATAGATAATGAAAGATTGGATCTAACAAACAAATTTGAAAGAATGGACTTGGATTTACTATAGTATTGCTTTCTTTGATGATGCAGTTTAGTAGGACAAATTCTCTATTAATTGATAATTAATGGTGCACTCAAATTGGTAAAATATGAAAGAAGGAATTTTGAGTTTCTATGATAATACTTAATTTGGTTGTAGTATTCAGTGGAACAAGCCTTCCATTTATAGATAATGAATGGTTAGATCTGTAGAGGGGGAGGTCTTGCATGCTTATCCATAGACATCAGTAATCCCCTATGCATTTATATTATCACAAATGTAACAAAATAGTGAACAACAACGGAACAATATTCAAGGCAAGAGTTTTTGCATAACAATAAATAGAAACTTTTATGTAACAAAAGGTAGAAACATTTGTTGAAAAAGTTGTTTAAAACCTTCAAATGTCTTTGTATGTTTCGATTTGAGTTTTAGTAATGTTTTGATTAGATAAATCTTGAGTTGTGGAATAACATGTGAACATGAGATAGTATAATACAGTATAATTTGGTCTATTTTGAAATTAAACAGCTTGAGGTTTATGAAAATTGTGTGTGAATGAAGTGGATTACTTTGTGTTTTAACTGGGTTGTCATTCTTTGATATTTGTTGACTTTTAGTTCACTTGTGTTGAAAGAGCGATGCAGACAGTTTTAGTGTTAAAAGAATTTTAACATATAGTCTGAAAGGAAGAATAGTGACATGTGTGGCGTAGCTCCGGATTGGATTTTTCCACTTCACGGGATTTATTGCATTTAAGAAATACAATTTTGGCACAAGGCCTAAAGGGAAAATGGGTTGAGGCTGGTCGTCACTTGCTATCCTATACCTAACTAATCTGATTCATAACCCATTCACTTACAATTTGCACATTCACCAAAAGAACACATCCATCTCCACTCAATCCTTCATATACCATAATAATTCATACACTCAGGTGACCTACAAAATGCACCCTATGACATACAAATTTCCTGGTGCTAAATACCATATATATATAATAATCTATGTATGATTTACAGTGAGTAGAGAGGGTATGAACCCAAATAACAAACTAAAAATATCAAAATAAACAAAATAAAAAATAACTAATGTTAATTGGACCCATCCTGCACTCAAAAGAGAGGCTGCTTTATTCTAAATTTAGACAAAATCAAGAGGTCTCTTGCGAAGGGAGATGGAAAGGAGGAAATAAATACAGCCATAGGAAGAGAAAAAACTGACACAGACAAGATGAAAAAAGTGGGACCTAAAACAAATTAGGGACATTGGGAATTTCAAAGATGCAGCCAGGAACACAACATTAACTAGGTACACAAATAGTGGTCTAACCTAACCAGGGGAGGGCTCCACAGGAAACTAACCCGATGTGATTTAGGTGGACCTAAAAAAAAACACTCAAGGCTAGCCCCATTCACACGAACCAGGCTCACCTCAGTTACTTACCTTTTGCTCAAATTTGTCAAAACCAATTGCTTTCTATCAGTTCTAATCTTCATTTTGAGCTGATGCTCAAAGAATCAGATTAGATCCTAATGAGAAAGACGGTTATCTCACAAGACTTCTTCTTGTCATGTCCAAGTCACCATTTGGGCCATGGCCAGCAGCAATAGAAGCACCATCTGTTTCACCCCAAAATATGGGATTAACACATTGTCATATGCAGATGCATGATCAATGGGCACAAGCTTTTCAAGAGCAATACAAGCCATCAACTTTCCAACATGGTCCCAAGGAGGTGGACACGAAGACAATGGTAGAAGGCATATGAAGCTGTTTCCTCTAAGCCAAGATTACATCATTCACAGTCTGGCAAATCTGTCAAGCCCCATATGAAGGCCTTGTCATTGAAAGATAGCCTATTCTGAACCAGTCACCAGGTAAGCAAAATCTCATGTTTGCCGAGATAATCCATCGCTGGCGTCCAAGACCAAAAGGAGCAAAGCTTGTCCGCTGAGATGCTGAGCCTGTCACGTAGTTGAACCTTCAAGACCCCCTACATTAGTTCATGATAGAAGACTCTCCTAGGCCAAGAATGGTCACTGGACTGAGAAATGACCCTCAAGGCCAATCAACAGATGGGAGAGTGATAGTAAGGAAAGGGAACACAACCTTCAAAATCCCAGAATTGAGTCCCCCTGTCAATGTGCAGCATTGGAAGGCCAGCCTCAAAGTGAGCTTCTAACTTTCCAAGTGCAGAATCCCCCCATGACATGGACGTTGGGCACAGACTTCT